TAAAAAATTCGTTATAAGCTTATAACGAAGTTGATATCCAGATCCTAGAATTCGTTATATTAAGAGTTCACTGTAAAAAGTTTTTAATGATAATACTTTGTCATATTATAATGATTGTGATAGAATTATAAGAAACAATATAGATTTTTTTATGATTTAAGAAAAGATAAATTAGTTAAAATCTAATTATAACAGAAATAATGATATAAATTTATATTAGCAAAACTAAATAGCAGAATAAAAACTTAAAATAGCAATTAAGAAAAAAATTAATTTTTATTTAGAAGTTTTAAAAATTTTAAATAATTGGAATAATAAGTAGAAGCAAAAATTATTAATAAAATTCAAAGATTTGAAATAAATTTAAACAGTTAATGAAATAGTAGACTCAATTAATTACTCAAATTAAAGTTAAAAAAACTAAAAAATGATCTTAATTGAAAATTAAAGATTAACAAAATTAAAAAAAATAATTATTTGTTTTAGTTATTTTATCAGTTTTCTTTTTTTTTATTAATTCTTTACTAGAATTCTTTAATACTTTTTTGAAAGCTCTTTTCTTTTGATAAATTTTATAGATAATTCTTTCTTTGTTTAAATATGTTTATAAGAATTTAGTATTTGCTAAAGATAGTTTCTATAATTATTTTTAAAATTTTTAACTAGTTACAACTATTTATGAAATTTTATATTAAAATAAATTTACAAGGAGTTGCAATCAAGTTGCAACTTACTGAGTTATAACTTTTTAATTATGGTGCTCATCTTTAGTATTTGCTAATTTAAAAATTTATGATGCAATTTTTTACCTTATTTTTTCTTTATAATACTTCTGATAGTACTATAATTCTTAGGTTTTATAGTAGATCTAATCTAATTTAAATTAGCTTTATATTAACTATTTTTGTTTAGATAAATATTATGATCATATTATATTATAATATAACTGTGATTAAAGATGGATATCATAATTAAGAAGTTGCAACTTGGTTGCAACTCCTTATAAATTTATTTTAATATAAAAATTCATAAATAGTTGCAACTCAAAGTGTTGCAACTTAAGTTGCAACTAGTTAAAAATTTTAAAAAATAATTATGGGAACCATCTTTAACTATATATTAAAAATAATATTAATTTCTAAAATTCTTGATAATACCAATGTTTATTTTATCTGATTTTATTGTAGCATTGTTTCATATAAAACTTAAATTTATTTATAAATAAATATAAATTATTTTTAAAAGACTTTAATTTTTCTTAAAATAATTCTAAAAAGTTAACTTTAGTATTTAGGATTTTAGTTTATTTACAAATAAAATTTACAAAATAAGTTCCATAATTTAATTAGTATAATACAATATACTCTTAACTTAAATAAATGAAAATATTATAAATTATTATAAATATTTATTTTAAGCTATTTAAAAGTTTATTTTTATTACTTTTATTTTTAATTTTTCTTAGTAAATTTTAATCAAATAAATTGTCATTAAATGATTATTATTTATATCAAACCAATTAAATCTTTATTTTTTTTTTAAATTAAATAAATATTATTATTATAATTTAATAACATATGATTAAAAATATTAATAGACTAAGTATTTAAAAGATATTTAATTATTCAATTTTTTTTCTTTAATCTCATCAAAAAAGTTATTTTATATAGTCTAATCAAATTAATATACTTTTTGCTAATTAAAAAATGATAATATATTAGTATTCTTGAATTTTATACATTTTATTTTTGAATATTATATAAGATTTGAACTAAAGATAAGCATCATAATTAAAAAAAATAATGCAATTGAGTTGTAACTTATAGCGCAATTTTTCTTATGACATAATTAAGTTGCAACTCAATTGAAATTTAAAAATAATTATGGGAATCATCTTTAATTTGAACTAATCAATATTTATTATTCAAAAATTTTAAAAGTTTAAAAAACTTATTAGATGATTTAAAGAAATCATAAATAGAATCTTCTGTTTATCAATTTTATTTCTTACTTATGATATTTAATTCACTAATATTTATTGATAAAATAGTTGGTTTAAAATCTCACTAGTCAGATTTTAATGCAATAGAAATTAAGCAATTTTTTTTAATTTGTATTAATTTATATAATTTATTTCACATTAGATTTTAAGAAAATGCAAACTTAGTTTTAATATTAATTATTTTAGATGAATTTTATATAATATTCAATAAAGATTATACAAAATCATTATACTTATAAAAAGAACTATTATTATATTAATTTAAAAACTTCTTTTAAGATTTACGTTTTTTGTAGAATTTATTAAATAATTAAGGAATAAAACAATTCTATTTATATTATATATCAAAAATTAAAAAATCTTCTTTATATATTTTTTAGGTTATATATACTAATTTATTAAACTTCATCATTTGATTTATAATTACTTTATTTTTTTACCAATTTATTTTTTTATACTTGCTACTTGAATTTGGTTATGTTTTTTATATAAACATATTATTTTAATAGATATGATTGTAAAAATTGATAAAAATATTCAAAAAGCAAATAAACATTTAAAATACTAAATAAATCAAAATGCTACTGATACTAATGGCTAAAATTTTAATTATATAATAATAATATATTATTTTAATGATTAGTTCCTTCAAATGATTTATAATTTATAAGAAATCTAAGCTATATAATAAAAAAAATTTAAATTATGTTTATGTTTTCTGATATATAATTTTGATAATAATTAATAATAAAATAAAAATATAATTTTATAAAAAAATATATCTTTTAAAAGATTATAATTTTTATAAAAGTAATTATATAATTGATTAAAAAGAATTGAAAATACAAATATCTTTTAAAGACTTGCTTTTTATTAATAAAAAGGTAATATAGTTATTATATAATAAGTAGTGTTATTTTTACTATAAAGCAGAAAAGAATTTTTGGTAAATAACAAGTAAATTTACTTTTAAATTCGTAAAATATCTGAAAGTAGTATATATTTATAGATCCTAAATATAATAATATTATATATAATATTGTTAAATTATAAGATATATAAGATTAATTTAATAAATATTATAAAAGTTTAATAATAATCTGAATCTTTAATATATGGTATATAATTAAAATTTAAGTAAAGAGAAATATTAAAAAATAATTTTTCTGTCTAACGGAAATAAGAATTTTTATATATGTGTGGATGTAATGCGATAATAAGAAAAGTTAATGAATTCAAAAATTAAGGCATTATACATTTGACACGTTTATTGTTCACTTAAATAATTTTATCAATGAAATGATATATTTATTTATTTTTTTTGTTAACATTAAAGAAGAATGACTTTAATATTCCTAATTTTTTGCTTTTGACTGGTAAATACCTTTAGTAACCAGTCAAGAAGAATAGAATGGAATTTGAGTGTGTTTTATTAAACAGAGCATTTGTCAAAGCTGAATAGATTTATTAATCGGTAATCTTGATCGTGGCGAAAATACCAAGAAATTTTAAGAAATTTAAGGCATCACCAAAGGATACAATACTATAAAAAAACAATTCATAATAAGTATGAAATTCATATAGTATATTCATATATCCAGGAACATATTAATATGGTTGCTTTTATATTCTTTGAAGTGGCGCAGTTTGCAATAAAACTTGCTAGTACTTCTTGATATTGATATATCGGTCGTGACACAGAATTTTTGGTCACAATGACGAAATTTAAATAGAGATCTTGAAATATTTTTTCTCTAAAAACCTTTTAAAAACGATTTATAGATAAATATAAAATATATATATATATAAATTATATATTTTACAAAAGAAAAAAGTCAAGAATTTTAACAATGAAAATATTTGCAATACCAATAATAAAAAATCGTACAACATATTATTGTCATCATAAATCAAAAAAAGCAACACATTTAACAAAATTAACAAATTATGCAACAAAAAAATGGGATGCATTATCAAATGCTGATAAGAAGAGTTTAAAAGGTAGAATTTATATAACGGGACAAAGATTATTAGATAAAATGGATTATCAAGAATATTTTCTTAAAGGTGTTCCTATGAGGGAAGAAAGGGGCGATGATAAAAGTTCAGTAAGTTTTTATTAGATTAACGATTCTTTTAAAAAGTAAAAAAAAAATAACCATTTAATTCATACCGATTAATTTTTCCCTCTTCTTAGGTACCATTATTGTATCCTTCTGACGTAATTACACCCGAACTAACAGTTGATAGCCTTCAACGATTGTTAGAGAACAGGCTACCGTATCATCGAAAATACATGATTTACTCTGCATTATTTGTTCCCTTATCATCCACATTTACGATAGTTCCCATTTTACCTAATATCCCATTATTCTATAATCTATTCCGTTTGTACAGTCATTATAAAGGTAAGTGTAGCAATTTATACAAAGGTTTAAGATTTTTTATGAATTGATTTAATAATACTTTTCTTTTTTTTAAAAAAAAAACAAAAAACAAAAACAATTGTAGCATATAAAGGAGCACAACATTTATCTCATGTTATGAATGATAAAAGGCTTGTCCCAACAGATTCAAAGGAATTAAATAGAATTTATAATGGATTAGATTTAAATAATTGTAGTGGTGCCATTGATGAACAAAGAATTCACAACATTGCGAAAAAATTCGGTTTAGTCGCATTGGAAGTTGATGTTAAAAGAGCAAGATATCAAATATTAGAAAAAATAAAAAAAGAGTCACAAGAACAGGCGATTGATGGGAATGTCTCAAATCTTGATGATATTCAAAAAACGAAAAGTAAAGTTATTCATAATGACAAAAGACTTTAGACAATGAGATGATGAAAATAAATTCAGCAATAATCATTAAACTTTACCGAACCATTTATTGGACAACTCTAAATTTGTTGTGAAAGATTGATTTACCATTTTAATTATCGAATTTTTTTGGAAACAATAATTTAAATATGAATATGTAAAAAATTATTGGACAATTTTACCTTCCAAAATAATGGGGATAATACAAATTTAATTATTAGTCCTTTTTTAAATCATACAATTTACAGTATATAAAAAAGAATTAATGCGTCAATCAAAGTTTGTACGCAATATGATTCCAGGTCTGAGGAGTAACATCAGAAAAAAAATTGGTTATTGAAGATTAAGGTTCACTTTCCTAATCAGAATGCTAATCAATTTGCAAATTAATTAAAGCAATTTAACAAATCAAGTTAAATTAAAAAATTTTTACAATTGCAGTCCTGCGTGATTTCGCGAATAATAATTGTCTTAAACAATGTTTCATTCAGTGAACGCACATACAGCGTAAAATCTTTTTTTTTTTATTTTAAGAATGCACAATTTATTTTTAGCTAAAGATTGGCGTTTTTACCCAGTTCATGCGGAATAGGTCATGCACATTTGCACTTCGTTTATTTATTCTCGTAAGGATATCAAATGTTGCACAAACATGTCGTGTTATATTTTACTGCGGTACATGGTAATTTTTTTTTGAATATATAAGCGTTCTTTATTCCACATGCACAAAGAAGAATTACTAACATTAGACCTTTTTATTTCGTTAGTTTTTTTTTTTTTTTTTTTTTTGGCAATTTTTTTGAATTGATTTTTAATTTAATTTGATGCACACAAATTTCTCGATACAACCGAAACCATTAAATAATGAATATAAATACCGTAATTCTAATAACTACACTTTTAATACTTCAAGTAAGAAACCATTTTTTTTTTGTTTTTTTGAAAAAATAATTCGTTAAATTATTAAAGTGTATTGTAATTTGTGAATAGAACCTAAGTATAGCAGCACAAAATATAGTGGGTTCTGTAATATTTCCATATAAAACTGTAGAAGTCCCACAAAACAACGGAACATGGTTTCTATGTTCAGAAGAACCAACAAAATATGTCAGTAAGTATCAATCTGAGCCAATTCTCCTAATATTTGTCGTTAATTGGGTCTAACTCTAAAAAAAACTCTCTCAGGTTATAGCGTAAGAGTGGTAAATAGTGCATACCCATTAACCGAGCCGGAATTTGGTACCAAAAAAGAAAGGTACAATGTACCACTCCTGACGGCACCGACTGAGGGAATAACCGCCCAAATACTTTATACATCATATTATAGATTCGTACCAACTTTATCTTGTTATATGAACTTTGTAACTATGTGTGATCAGGATGTTGGAAATTATTTATTGAAAGATAATGAACATTATTGTTTGGTCTTGACAAATCCTGCCCCTGGGGTACAACGTGTAAATGTCACCATCTCTTTTAATAATTCAGTGTTTGAAAATGCATTTACAAGTGATAATAAACCTGGTGGAAATTCAATTTCAAGAACACTTAGTAGAGATTCCTTATTAGAATTTAGTTCAAGTAAAATACTGTTTGCAATGATTAGTTACCTGTTCATATTTCGATACGAAATCTTATAAAAATATATATATACCTTTAAATATTTTTAATATATTGTAATTTTTTTTAATTGTGTCGTCGTTGTAATTTTGGTTCTTATATAATTATTTCACTAAATAAAAAAAAAAAGGAAGCGTGCTATGGTGCAATAGTTCAATAAGTTGATTCGTAATTTTTTTTTTTTTTTGGAGACACTTACTTATCGTTATCGAACATTTACTATTTGATGAATTTTGTCAGTACAACTTGTTACTATGCATTATACTACAGTACTATAAATAACTTTTTGATTAAATTACTTTCTATTCATATTTTTTCTTTTTTTGCTTTTATTCCTTTGCATTACTTCTTTAACAGAATAGAAATTATCATAAATTGAATCTTTATTTTCTTAAAAAAATATATTAAATATGTTTAGTAAATAACTTTTTTTAAAAATAAACATACTTAAATTGAGAACTTATTATTATCCAATTTATTTTTATTGATATATATACTTGATTTCATATCAAATACTATTCATCTAAATAAAAATTGTTCATAAGTATATATTATCATTGAATTTATAAACACTATAAAAATTTAAATTATTATCTTGTTTACAAGTTTATGGAACAAAAAAAAAAATGTTAGCAAAATATCAAATGGACAAATAAAATATTAACACAGACAAAATGTAGTTCACATATTATATATAACATTTTTATTTATGATTTTTTTTAATGATTTTTGAACGATATCTAAATACTTGAAATTCAAAAAAATATATATTTAAGAATCCAGATGATTATTAATTGAATAATGCCAAATTGTATATTATATGAAATCTGATAAATTTGTCATATTTTTCGAACGATTCTTTTTCATAGGGACCTTGTTCAGGAGGACTATGATATAATCTAAAAGGAGAGAGAATTATGGTCGTGACTTTTTCAAGATATCTAAAGAAAAGCTTGGAAAGTAGAAATGTGGGGTGGACCTTACGGATTTCGCTAAGGGACTTGGTAAACAGAATTTACTCATATTTTGTCCTACAAACCTTGAAAGACTTGAGGGAGATTTGGGCAAGTACAGCATTGTTAGCAATATCTTCCATTTATATCAGAACCTGTGATGACGATGAGGAGTTGAAGCAGTGTATAACTAAGATAAAACGTAGAATAGGAATCATAGGTTTGGCAACAGAGTTGTGTTTTGCTAGTATATTTCTCTAATATTATACGCATCTCTGAAAATATGATGTGGAGTTTCGCTGAATTGCCAAAAAAGTTATGGAAGTGATCGTTAGATAGAAGTTGATAACACTTCAGATAGTAAGAGAGCTAGGACGAAAAGGAATGAGTAGGTTAGGTTATAGTATAGAGCGAGGCGGGAAATTTTGTCAAACCCGATTTGTATTTTATTTTTTGCATGCTATATCACGTTATTATTGCATTCCTTCAGATACACTTTTTTGGAATCAATATTTCGAATGTTTTATGTATTACTGTAATTTCATATATAAATTACATGGAGAAAATAAATAAAATGCATTTTTATTATAGAAATGAGTATTATAATAATATAAACTATTTTTCATTATTAATTATCCACTTCACCATAATTGTATAAACGGGAAAGGAAAAATGAAGTCATTACCATTGATGAACTTCCTTGGATTGTGATTTGTATATCTCGAACGTGTGGATCACCTCGAAAGTTGCCAGCTGCCCAAGGCATTACACTTATTGCGATAATGGCAAAGCAAGCGAACAAAGGCGGATAACCTATAATAACATCAATGGTTAAGACAAAATCATTCATAAATATTTTGGATTATAAAATCAATCTAATTAACAGTCGGGTGTCGATAAACGCTATGCTGGACTCTATCGAAATCAAAATTCGTCAAGATTTCATTGATGTCTCGGTAGGCTCTTCTGTGAGAGCCATATGTTCGACGTAAGGCAGTTGCGATGTTATGATCCAGTTACCAATATGAAATAACCCTTCGTTAACAGTTGACATATTAATAATTAGATGTGATGTTGTTAGTACGAAGTACGAATATGTATCATCAGCCCGAACGGTATAAATAAGAACTACCCCAAGAGCACCAAAAAATATTATACCCAAGTATCGCCACAAAAAAATTTCACCCCAAAATTTTTGGCCGGCATTATAGAACTTGGCCGAAATTAGCCAAGTGACAAATAAGGTGACAAATAGGAATTTTCACATAGAAATATTAAAGTCCCCAGAATAATGAAAAAAGTGGGCGAGAACCCTGAAAAATTCTGTCGTCACGTGATAATTGTGTCTCTCTTTTCCTAAATTGAGCAGTTTAAAGAAAAAAAATTTTTTCGCGTAAGGTATGAATGAAATTATAATATAAACTCATGGTCAAATTCAAACAAATTTTATTACTTAGTACAAGATTTATTTAAACGAAACAGTAAAAAATACCGCCTACATTCACAAAAACGAAAGATTTATTTATAGAGTAAATTAAGATAGTTATTCTAATGTTTATTCCCAAATTTATTATTATCACGCATTAATGAATTTGTTCCTAGTTAATTTTTTGATTTCGAAACAATTACCGCTGGAATCCTGATATAACGCTGAGGATTTCATTGTCCATAATGGGTCGGTAATCAAAGTGGTAGGAACGACAAAGAATATTAATGGCGCACCAATTAGAGTAGAATTATTCATAATTTGATTTGTAATTTGTTCTCGATAGAACAAATTTAATATTAATGAAAAAGTTATTATGGTTTACGATTGTGAAGTGAATATTTATTATTACGCGTTATCTTATGAAAATAAAACATAAAAGTGTCAATATTCAATCCAAATGTTAAAAACCAGGAGGTGTTGTTCTTATGGTAACTTTGGTGAATTTTGGTACTTTATGTAATGATTTTCTATAACCTTTATGTTTTCTACTAAAGACAGTATATTTATCACGAGGAGTCATTTCTGATTCTTTAGGTAATGAACGAGCGTAATCCTATGGAACCTAACGATTATTAGAATAAAGGAATAAAAAAAGGATACAAGTAAAAAATGGGATTTGACATACCAAAGCTTTACATTTAACGCCTGATTTCGCCACAGCTTCAATGACAGTATCTACAGCTCTTAAACGTTTACGTACATTAGCTTTACGCGTTCTACTCATGTTTGAAGGATTTTTCCTAGCAGTTTATAAAAGAAGTTCGAATAAAGTTGTATATTCATTTGTAAAGTAAAAATAAATACATTATTACCATAATAAACCACCACAAGCTACCATGGTTGCTCTAAATGCTCCGAACATCTTTATGACCTTTTTTTTAAAAAAAAAAAAATTAATAATAATGAACAAATCCCAAAAAAGCTTTTTTTGTTAATAGATCATCAATATGCACGTCATCTTCCATTCAATGCATTTTTTAAAAAAGTAATTTTTTTTAATTGGGAAAATAAAATTCTTTTTTTTTTAAAAAAAAAATGATTAATTCAGATTTAATTAGATTACTAATACTTATATCACTTCCATTTCTTATAGAAAAAGGACGTGATTTTATGAGACACAGAGCATTAAATCTACAAAAACCCAAACGAAATAAAACAAGATTAGATTATTTTATAATATCCTTATTAACAAGTAATAGTATCTTGCAAATTATATTTGCGATATGGTTAAAACCACCAAACATATTCAAGGATACAGGAGTACCATTGAGGATATCAACAAATATATTAATAAAGAACTTGGCAGAAAATAACAAAACTTTTGGAGATAATGAAAAGATATTATTAAAAAAATTTGAATCTTATGAAAATAGATTAATATATGCGACGTATGGGGAAAAAGCACTTCTCGATTGTTCATATTGTTCTAGTTTAACCGATTATTTAATATTTATCATACCTAATATCGCTTGGTCTTATGTTATCATGTCGATTATACTTGGGGTTGCGACAACTTTAAAACGTAAAGCACATTGGAGAACTTATGGAGTAATTTGGTTATTAGGTAGTGGATTTTTAGAATTATACATGTTCATTACTGTTGACTTTTCTAATCTTGATAGTGGTGGGAATATAGGATTTCTTTATTGCACGATAGATTTTTACAGGAAATTATCATTTTCTGTGTTATGTTTGGCGATATTATTTTTTGATAAAATTGATGAGAGAAATAACTTGGAAATATTAACCGATGTATCGAGGAAATTAGAATCAATAATTTACAGAAGTAGGGCTTTGAACATTCAACGTACAAGTGTATTAAAAGATTCTAATTTAAGGAGATTATTTATAGAATATTATAAGAGGGTCGAGATGGATGATAACACGGTATCATCAGATCCTGAATATAAAGAAGTTAGGGAGAAAGCTTTATCAAAATTGAATGTAGAAAAATTAATGAAAGATGCGGAATGTTATGTTGAAGATATTAATACGTTAAAAGAATCGGAAACTGATAGTGATTTGGCTGTTGGTATACAATCTACTTCTTCAATGTCATCTACCGCTTCTTCCTTCTTACATATAAAGAAAATGCAAGGGAATTAGATTAGATTTAATGGTTAATTTTAATAAACTTATGCAAGTTCTAATCTTTTAATATGAATGTAATGCAATATGTAAGATCTCTTGGGGAAATATTTATAAAAATCACGAAATTTCATTCGAAAATTCAAGCCATGCGATTACATATTCCCTAAGAAAAATAAAAAAATATTATATACATCAATATTAAATCTCACCTTGTAATCGTAGAACCCCTTATAAATAAAAAAAGTTGTAAAGTATGAATCACGTGATAGCCAAGTTGGTTGATGAACATTATTACATGATACAAACATTAGATAATCAATTATTACCACATGATGGTCAATTATTAGTTTCTAGATATATTTGGCACTTTCCTCTTAACTACAATAGTTCGTCGAATTCAAAATTCTTTCATATGTTGTCACCACATCAGAAATCAAACGGCGCACAGGTTATTAATTTACTTGTGCTTGAATGCAAAATTTTCATATAATTTAGTTTTGACTTACGCGTTAAACAATTTTATATGAACAAGAATACAGAGGCGAAAACAGTGATATTACTTGTAAAGAACGCGTCAAACTTTTCGAAAGTAGATCACTATAAATGGCTTCTTATACGATTATATCAACCTTTACGTCTAGAAAGTGACGATGTATGTAAATATAGCTAAATAAAAATAATTTGCTTTTTCTGATATTTTCAGTCTGTAATCTCGAAACCTTTATTGTACAATAGAACTTTCAAGTGCTTCATATATCGGATACGCGTTTAACAGCTTTAATACAAAGTCAAAATGAGAAGGAAGCAAGCGAGATATATACGCCACAAAATTTACCGGATCTTCAGCATTCAACGGATAAACAATACAGACTCATGCCACATTCTCGTATAATAACTTTGAATACAAAATATCGATTCGTATTCCTTTTGGATGTAACCTCCTCTTTAGCTACCATTGATTGTAGCGGTGCCAAAGACACAATAATGTCTGAAGTGATGCAAATGTAAGAAAGATTTGAATATCGATATAATTGTGACATGAATTTATTTAATAAGTAAATTTATTATACTGTAGTACTCATCGTTGTCTTGAAGGACTGGTACAGCCTTTCATAATTCAGGATTTGGATAAGGATCGTGCCTTACAGGTATTGCATAAGTTTATACATTTCTTTTGATGGATTTTGTAATATTCCTCAATTTAATAAATCATATGTCGTACGTAGTTCGAACCCGAAATATCAGTTACCATTATTGCTGAATGTTCCAATTTTGCATCAAACGCAAATCTTATTCCTATGTTGGCTGAATTTCCTACAATGAGAGTTCTTATACAAGGAGTAGTAGTTAATCGAAATAATATACTCGAAATACTTGATAAATTACACTCAGAGTTTATTCGTTTTCAACATGAAGTTGCCGAGTTTCGACAAAAACTTCGCAGGAACAAATTCCCTGTCGCTTACGTTATGGACGTTACTGGCCCCAAAACCGATTTGCTTGAGCATGAACCAGGATCTAGCACGTCATATCTAGATGAGAAAAATTTATGGCGGTTGGGGTCAAGTGGGGGTAATCTTGCTTACAGTCTAAATGCTGGTTTATTGGCTATAGATTTATTGCCAAAAGAAGGATCTCCCGCGCTGATGGTGATTACGGATGGTGTTGTTAAATCAAATCTAGCCCAGATGTCACCTGATGATGATATCATTCAGGTGCTTTGTAAGGAGAGTATTAGATGCAATATTATTCAAGTTGGACCTCGTGAGGGAGGTAATCCTGGATGTAATTTCGGGTTACTTCCTGATAATGAAATATTGCAATTTGTTGCCACAGCAACATCAGGCATTTTTCTTTATTCCGAAAATTGTCCAAATGTACGAAATGTTAAACCTTCCAATGTTCATTTATCACGTGAAGACTTGGTCCCCCCAAATTTTTATCATATAAACTTGCTGATGAAGGAAACCTATTTTACCAAAAGAAAGAGTCATACCTCCTCCTATTCACACAACTCTGTTAGCTCGGGGGAACGAACTTATAATTTTCCTTGGGATCCGGATCCAAAAAGTCTACCACCAGCAGTTGAAGCAATGTCAACAAGATATCGAGAGTACTCTCTTTCAATTGATGTGATGCAACTTATATTCGCTCGTATGCGTAATGGGTTTAATATTGAGAGTATAATTTTAGTAGGTAGAAACACCAACAAGGCAGAAAAGGTTCATATAACAATGTCACGTCTTTGGTTACCAAACGTTATAATTCAATATAAAATCAAAGCATCCTGGATGGGGGAAGTGAATGGGTTTTCAAGATTGAAATCACCAAGGATTGAGATTAACGTTGTAGCAGATACTGTATTAGCAATATATTTACTTAATTTTCAAACAGCTCAACAAAATAATGATCCAAGTCATCCACTCTTTTTAAAATGTATTAGATTGCATAAATTTATGACAATGATTTACGAAACAGATGAGTTACTAAAGAAACATATTTTCCATAAGGTATCTAAGGAAAATAGTAAACTTCAATTATATCGAATTGCAATTAGCAACGGTATTACTTCGTCGTTGAATCGATTAGAATTGTTGAAACAATTATGGGATCCACTTGAACAAAGTCTAATGCGACAAAATATTGATATTTGGTATGATAAGGCCAAATTCGATATTTTGATATTTGGAGAGCAATCATCTACTAATAAATCTGTGAAAAGGACATCGGATAATAATGCTTATTCGGCTCTAAAAGAACGGCTGAAAGTCGCATGGTCAGCTTTTGCATTTTCTGAAAAAGTGTTCGTTAAGGCTTTTCACCCCCTGGGAGGTGATAAGATCCTTCCAATAAGTTTTTGCGAACTCAGATTTAACAAAGAATTAGGTAGTCTCGTTACCGGTAATTTATCATTTTTCAACGTTGAAGTGTTTCAACGTCAAAAAGCGCTGGAAGATTTAATTAACCTTATTAATGAGTTAAATTCAAACCAAGATGGAGATGGACAATTATATTACGTATGTAAAAGACCCATATCTTCATTTATTGTTAAGAACCCAGGAAATGTACGTCATGAAAATGAAATTTCATCGGATAATCGTCATGTGACAGGTCAAGACTGCATTGTAAAATCTTACCTAAGACATTGGCGTTGGACTTGGTTATCCGATATTGAACATATCTTCTCGATGGATAGTAAGAACATGCCAATCCAAGATTTGGCGTTTCAACATCTGTGTCAGGCACGTCGGGATGAAGGATGTTTATTGATATCCGAAAATAGTAATCAAAAAGTATTTTATCGGGAACTGGAACTTGGAGGAAATTCCGATCTAGGTTCATCTGCTAATCAAAATAGACTATATGGCATACAACATCATATATATAAGGATTCATATACTGGAGAAATTATAACCGAAATATGGATGGAACCTTTGCAACAACCATTCTTACGGGACTTTTACGAATCTGTTGCTGACAGAGTATCAACGGCAGATCGTCAAAAAATATCTCAATTGGTGACTTTCGATCAAATACATTATATTGCTAAATCACGAGTTTCACATCTTAGGAATTCACACAGTTTGACGCCTCAAAAATCGTCCCATCTCCCAAGTTTATTCAACCTTCCCGTCCTACTAAAATCCAGTGGATTACTAATTGCAAATTATGACATTCCTTCTTTCAAATCTTCATCCAACATCATTAATAATCAATTTCATCAATACTTACATTTACAATCTGTTAAATCATCTTATATGAGCAATGAAAATACACCGAGATCGAGCTTTGGAGATTCAAGGTCTCCATTGATTTCCGAATCAAGCTCTTATATAAGAAAGGGTAGCATAAGTAATAGAAATTCTCCATACATGGAGGTTGCTCAAAGGAAATTGTCACTTTCGTTGCCCAATAATCCAACCCATGATGTAACTTATATTATTAGTCGTGATCTTATTGCCCCTTTAGGTCCTTTAGATCGAGATTTCGCGTTATTACACCTTTTTGTTGAAAAAACTTTTAGTAACTATGCTGATGGTGAAGTTGATACTAATAATAATGGTCTTAAAGATTCGTTATTAAGAGAAATTAATAGTGGACTTTCCAAAATTGATTTTCTTCAGGAGGCTACGTCTACAATAGAATATATTAAGAACCTACGAGATACCCGATGTTTCATCAAAATTGTTGATCCTGGTTCATTTTTACTTGTAATTATTCCTTCTTTTAAACTTTTATTAGACATCATGAAACAAAATAATGGTTTGATTAGTAATAAACCGTGCTTCATGAGTATCTTAATTTTCTTGTGTAAACGACCTCAACCTATTCAAAGTGATTTTATAAAAGGTCCGGCGGATTTTCGTCGAGATCAAACTCTATCCTTTGAAACCATCTCTTTATTAAATAAAGCCCCGAATACAATTAAAAATTCTTTAGAGCCAAAGCTACTTAGTAGCTCATTTCCTGAAAATCCTGTAAATTCTTTTAAATCAGATCTTTCAGATCAAGCTGCTCAGGTCACTTTAAGCATTACAAAATTATATGTACATGGATTTGTTAAATCTGTATACGCAAGTATTTTACAAAAGCATAGAGTTACAGAAACCGATTTTCTTAAAGCGATTGATGCTTGTATGGAGACTTCCGTTGATATAGATATCACAGGATATGTCAATGTACACGTAAAGGCTACTAGACAGGGACTAGATAGGTGAGTATTTCCGTTATTTCGAAGTTACAATGAATAGTTATCATCTCATCTCATCTTCATTACTTATAAACCCATTTCATTTAGTGATGATGCCAATGATGTGTATCAAAAATTTGTTGCTGTGCTTGGTCATTACTTTGAACCGGCTAATTTCATTAATGATGAATTACAAAATATATATTATTATCGTCCAAATTTCAAAAAGCCAAATAATTCATCAATAGATACTCACGATAATGTGGCCGATATCGCTGGAACCTTTCTAGATGTTTTTAATTATGCAGAAAATCCTTTATTTTTACGACTTGAATGTACTTTCAAAAAGACATCAACTCCTAAGGTTGAGGAGGATATTGAATTAGAAGGATCCAGTTCTGTGAAATTTCCCATTTCAAGTTTACCAACAAGTTATTTATGTACGGTGGATGGCAAGTCTCATGACTTTTCTCCAAAATCAATCGGAACGGAAACATCTCCTGTAGAGTCTTCTGATGGTACTACCGCTATTTTGCATCTTATTTGTCTGACTTTAGCCCGAGTCGATGAGATGGCTCCAGGGGTCAATGTGGATGATAATGTGACAAGGTATTCAGAATTTTTTTTATTGTTTCGCTAAAAAAAAAAGTTTTCCTACCTTTAAGAATTTTTCACAACGGATTATCTAAATTATAGAGCACTTGAAAGTACAAATGAAATTTTACCGCAATTGGATTCACTTACCGCCGATAAAAAAGAAGCTTTATCAGAAACTCGAGATCGAATCGATTGGTTATTGAAAGAAGAGATGATGCATGGACTGTTGAGATCACAGCCTGTAGAAAAATCAGTCCTTTCATTCATTCAAAAACAATTGATGCCTAAGAATCCATTCGTCGACTTTCCGACCACCTTTAGTGTTCCGTTATCCTTTGTTCGTCGTAAACAAGGACAGGACCGATTCTTAAAAGAATTTAGCAAAGCTGACATGTCTCCATTTTCTCTAAATCAGGTTGAAGATTGCTTTTATATAAGTGAAGATGAGGAGAAGGGTGAATCCTTGGCTGTTGTAGACAATAGCCGTGTCACATCACCCGTGTTTGAGCTAAGTAATATTTTTGAGAGCGTATCCATAGAATCATTTAACAATCAGGAGGAAGCGTATGATGATTATACTGACGATGGTGGTGATGGTGACCTTTGTCAAGGTCTCGGAATTAGCATTTATACCCCTGATGAAAATGATATCATACCGGATCATGCTGATCAAACCATTAAATCTGTCAAAAAACATGTTATACACAAGCAATTATTTTGGTTATTACTCATACCACAAGAAAATTCTATACAAATGTATTTTTATTCAAAAGCGGTTTCAGCAATTGAACGTTCCAATATCATCAAACATGTGCGAAGTTGTATAGTACAAATTTCAGAAAGAATTAATAGATTAATATTATTGGATGAATTAAATGAAACACGTCGTTGCAGGTAAGTGTCATTATTCAATTTTTAAATATGAATTTAAAGATGTATGTATTTTATTGATCGTTCTTTTGATCTCTTCATCGATTAGCAAATATTTGGTTCCACCTGATGGTTCTTCAGATTCCGAATCATCTTCAGAAGATAGTGATTTATCTTCTGGCGACTTGGTGGATGTACTATCAATGGCACCAAATGATGGAAATATAACGGTTTCAAAAAAGTTCAAACCGGGACAGTTTGAGTGCGAATCGGTCTATAAACAAACATTTCCGATTCATTGGCGGTTAAGACCGAACCAAGCGCTCAATGGTATTGCGTCCTCGATCCTCGATCCATTTGTAGTTTCTAACCGGAAACATATGTTTGTAATAGCCAAGAATCAAAATATCGTTTATCTCAAATTATCAGAAGTAGAAGCATCTCCGGTATATATTGATGATGAAAGCTTAGATGATTCTTCACGTCCAAATTCCTCCTCATTTGCATTGTCTTCGGAATTACAATCAAATGCCGATGAATTACGAAAATCCCCATCAAGCAAAAGTGGAGGGAGTCCTAACACTTCTTCCCCAAATTCTCGTAAACACGGTACTCAAACTCGTGTGGCGGATTCAAGAGAATTGGTTGTAGAGGTTTATGGTTTAGATGTTCCAGGCAAGGAAATTACTGAAGAGTTAATGGCATTGTTAGAGAACAAATTGAATTCAAGTATAACTCTTACTGTTATGTCTACTTTCCTTGCTCGTAACCCATACAAGGTTAATCCGACTCGTGCGGTTAGTTAAATTTATATACAATTCGTACAATTGAACTTTTCGTACGTTTCGCGTTTATTGGTTAAATTTTTTGATTTTTTTTTAGGATGTGAACTTTATTTTTCCTATTCGCGAAACTCCTCGTCGAATATCTTTAAAGATACCGTCATATATAAGGAATACTTATGCTTTCTTGGTGTACTTTAAACAAAATATTTCTTTATACCTTAACGTCTTGCAAGGACCAGAAGTCACAAACGCGATAAGGCGTCACCATATTTCAAAATATGGATCAGTTGAATTCCCAGAATCAACCCCTGAAAATGGGAGGTATGTATTGATTAGATTTTATAACGTTCGAGCATCTCTTATAGATAATATTTTAAACTGAATTCTCCTGAATAAATAGGAAAACGCCATCCGCAACACATGATATCCATTTTCATGAATTTACGTTCTTCTACAACTATATTAGCCAATCCCGTGCCCCCTCTGCTTTTGAAGCATCAGTCGGTCAAGGGATTGCCGGACTTTGTTTCACTTTATTGAATCGTCAAGGTCGACCGACTTTTGAACTTTTAGTCCCTGATATTGTTGATTCAGATGATATAAGTTCGAATAAGATTTTACATTACTTATCTAACGATGAAGCGTTTGTAGTTTCGGATTCAACTAAGGATTCGAATGATAATATTATAGACGCTTCATACCAAATATTAATTGAGTTATGGAATCATGGTAGCCTTAATTATAACATAATACTTGATAGAATCAAAAAAAGTTTTCGACAATCTCTTTGTGACTATTTCATTGAAGTATCCATAACCAAAGGGTTGGGACGGGTTTCTTTGGATTGTGTTGAAAGCAATAATATCCAAGTGTCTCAAAATTTTGATCGAGATGACACCATTAGTCCAGAAAGTTTGACCGAATGCGTCGAACCACACGTTCAACATAATTTTATTGAACCAGCTCTAGCACTTTTGAAGAAAGCAGTTGAATTAGAAAATCCGGCATTGCATGCATTACACGCGAGGCTTGACATGCCTTCTTGGATGATGGATGATTTTTTAAGTGAAGTCCATGAGCTTCTGGTAGAATTAAACATCATCTTTACTCCAATTATACTTCGAACTATTCCTGCATCATTATCTCCAATGTATGAAATTTATCGACCAAAACATTCTATTTCTACTCCGGATGATTCGATAGCTGTTCCACGTCAATACTTATTGATTGCTGGACTGAAGGAGATGAATACAAAATACGGTTCATGTAAATCTATATTACCTGATGATCGTAGAGGTAGCTTTGGTAGCGATATGTCACATTCTCGTAGGAGTTCGACCGAAGATATCTCGAACGAAAAAGCTAACGCAAATTCACGTAAAAGTTCTTTGATGTCAGTAGCCGCACAGCAGCGTCATTTACTCGAAGAAATAATGATGTATACAATTTCGAATTGTGATCAGACCAATCGCAATACGCCTGATTTATTTCGTTCGTGCTTTTTGGTAATGTCTATTAATGGTTTTGATTTATCTGTGTATATTTATAATTGGGTAAAGCAACATGCCGATCAAGTATTTACTGCCATGAAAAGAATTTCCGATTGGCATAATAAACGGATAGGACTGTTAAATAACATTCTTCATCAAAAGATGGGTTTATTTTATCATTCGAGCAATATATCCGTTAAATTACAACCTCAGACCCCATTTTCTCAGAGCTTACCTAACACTCCTCGACCCATGCAATCTCCAATGCTGGGGACCATCCTGAACGGTCAACGTTCAAATGCTATGATATCATCAAACGGACATAGTATGGCAACAGATTTGATGCACATAAATTCTCTGATACTTGAAAGATTTCCACAGCAGGACAACAAAAAGAGTTCGGAATCGTGCAATGATGTGTTCAATTCATATTCAACTGATTTGGAAGCAAATCGTTTCTCATTAACTTCTTTAGATTTGAACGTTGTGCTAAAGGATTCTTGTGTTGAAAAGGTGGCTAGAAGTGATATTTCTCATGTGGGTCGTGATGCCCTCATGAGACATGGTATTCCATTCATGGAAACGTATATAAGACAAGCCAAGATAACACAAGCTCATGATAATGCAGAGAAAGTTTACAAGAAATGGGCAAAGAGGTATCAAGAAAACAAAGACCATTCTGACACGAACGAGGTAATAGCAAAATCAGATCTAGCGATAATATTCCGTACCTCTCGACTTTTACATTTCTGTAGAACGCCATTGTTATTTGGAGAAAAGGTTGAATCTTCAGTAACTTTACCTGAACAGGACAAAATTATGGTATCCAAGTGGTATGAGGATATGGTTGAAAACTTTTTGCAAAAATATTCGGCTTATTTGGAAAGGATCGGAATGCAAGTAGTTATGGGTGGAAATTCCGGCCTGAGTTTAGTAGACGATGGGGATAAATCGTTCTCGAATTATACATCCAAATTTCCAGCATCAGATAATAATGTTCTTGCTGATTATTCCTCGGTGTTCTTATTGAAAGCACTTCAGGGTGGCTCCATAATGTGCGAGGTTCGAATTCAAGGAGTTTTCGTATGTGTTACTTTATATACGTTAAATCGACGATATGGTCATAGAAATTTGGCAGCTCCCGAATTTGTAGCCGCCGATACTGATAGGCACAGCATAAGAGTATTTACCGAAGAATGTGGTAAATTCAAAAAAACGATTCACGTTAATTCTTTCGTTTACGATTTTCATTTACAATACATCAACCATGTCTTGGAAGGTCAACTACGAAGCCCACCTCCTTTTAATGTAATAGAAATACTTAGAGCTTTCATTCGTCGACATTCTCAGCCTGCACACTACGCAGTTCATCGTATTTATCACGACATTGTTAGTAAAGAGTTACCATCAATACCGATTGATTTATTTGAATACATTGTAAAAAATCCCCAAAGGTATGGGTTTAGTTCGATCTCGTATGAAGGTAAACCAATCGCTTGTTTTGCGACTTTAGGTGAAGTGAATGAAACTTCCTCATCGATCGAAACTGATCAGAATAAAGATTCATGTGATAACGATTCATCCCATAGCACGATAATCTTTACTGAAGAATATCAATCTGATAAGAATGTCGCTAGGAATATCTCTTTGGAATATTTTGTCATTGTTTTACATAATGATGTTATTGAATCATCATTTGAAGCTGAAAATACTGTAGGTTCTTCCGAATCGCATAATCATAATCGTCATTTAACAGATCTAACTCATTTAGACATTCAAGATGAAATAAAAAACCTTTCACGAAAGAAGCTTGATTCTATAATTTCTCAGGTATTTTTATTTTTATTTTTTTATTTTTAAAAAAAATCAACAAATATATATATATATTTCTTTTTTTTCGAATTGATATTATAGGCGATTCAATATCATCGACGTGATTCATTATGGCGTGAGTTGTATCATGTAAAGACAAATAGCAATAGTGCTGGTAATAGTTCGAACGATGGAGCAATAACCATTCAAGATTTTCTTGAGCTGACAAATCAGTGGTATAGTCGTGAACTTGTCACGATTTATCCAGATTTTAAAGATTTCCTTGATATGGATTTAAATTGGACTGAATTGTTAAATTTTCTCTCACATTATTATAATGAATTATCAAGAGAATTGTATGATGAAGGAAATCATCAACGTCATTTAATCATTTTTAATACTCATATTCACGATTCACTTTTACACTTTATTTTACCTTATTTTAAACAAAATGACAATGAAAGTACTAATAATAATGGTGGTAATGACAAGGTTGTGGTGAATGCGGTCTGTCGTGATGTAAGACGTAATTTTGGAATTGAATTACAATTTGCGGCTGAAATTGTTAGAACAATTGGATATTGGCTATGGCAAAAGTTGTCTTAAATTATTGAAATAATAATTATAAGGTTCGTATAACTTTTTAATATAACTTTATTTTTTATTTGTTTGCTTCATTCAGATTCACAATGCCTTTTTCAAGGTTTTACATGAATGATGTAGCTTTAAAATAAGTTAATATTCATAAATTTCTTAGTTCTTTCAATTCATTAGCATAGATAATTACATATCCTTCTTTATTTTCAAAAAGTTTGTCATAATAATTTTTTGGGAAATCATAGACTTGATATTTAAAAATCATAAAAAATTTCTTTAATTAAATAAATTTTAAAAATAGAGAAATCACTCATATATATATACAAATATTATTATAACAAAAACCATATCAAAATTTTTAGCTTATCAAAATTTATTGATATTATCATTTAAAATACTATATTCTTACTTTTTTTAATAAATAACTCAAAAAAGAGTTTCTAAGATAATTCTAAAGATTTATATACAAATCATTTTATAATATAAAAACTTTAAAAATTTAAAAGTAAAATTATCATGTTATATCAATTTCAATAAATACATCTTTTAAATTGTATTGTGTTTCAATATCTAAAACCATTAAATTATTATATTACTTATAAATTAAATTATACTATGATATATTAAAATACTATTGTATTATTAAAAACAGATTCTTATCTATTAAATTAAAATAAATTTGTTTTTTTACTAAAATATAATTAATGATATTAAAAAATACTTTAATTAAAATATTTTTAAGACTTTAAACTTAAATTAATGCAAAAAATTACTAATTAATATAATTTTTTTTTTGATTTTACTTAAAAAAAATATCATAAATTTTATTATAATAAGATTATTAGTTTAATAACTAATTTTTAATATATTTAAAATTAACTTTAAAGTGTAAATAAAATTTCTTTTAAATTTGAAAGGAAAACCATTAAAGGAATAATGATATTATTTTATATCTTACATAATTTTATCTATTAACTAGGGAACGGGATCCGTTCAAAGTCCGAAACATGATATAGTATATAAATTATAATATTATATTTCACAAGATTAATTATTTTGTAATACAAAGACATAACATGTGATAATGTAAACAAAATGTCATTGGTTAGGGGACTTACATATATGACGTAATTATGGATTAATATAAGACCGGACCCCCTAGTGAGATTATGATATCACATGATCATAAATTTCAGCCAATCATCATTACAATTGTTGCACATGATTAGTATTAGTAGTTATCATACGAAAAGATATGTAAAGTATATACGTGAAATGAAATCAACCTCCAAGATCATTTTATTAATGCAGTATAAACAAAGTTAAGTTAGCACTACATACATACTAAATATCTTGGATTTATCACACATAATCCAGTGCATATTTTCATAAGAACACTGATTGTAAAGTTAATTACTATTGTGATACTGATTAATGCATCTTTTGCCTAGTATACATTCTGACATTCGCTTAGCTAGAGATTCTTCGACTTTCCTGTACCTAAAAATTTTAGTGTCAAATTATTTAATAAATAAATGTATGGCTTACCTTGCCTTTTTTACTTCATTGTTATTTTCCTAAAATGATTTAATAAAATAATAAATTTAAGTGATATAATCTAAACAACAGTTTAAAATCATATTGTTCTTTCGCAAATACGCATACGTGACTCATCGTCGAAATGACTCCGTCACGTCTATAGTGATCTAATCACATTTTTTATTGCACCTTGATTTTCTTGTTCAAACTTCCTCAACATGCAGGCTTTTCTAACTACACCAAAATATAACAAGTTCTACATTTATAAAATTCCCACAAATCAACACCAGAGATTTTGCAATGCTTTCAGATATTATCGTATGGTGAATGCAAAAAATCTTGTGTATCCAAAAGTAAGTTTATGTACAGAATGTACTGACGCATGAAAAGAGATTCAGCATAAACCTCAAGAAGAAATTGAAAGTAAATCCAAGAATACCTGGCAACTCCAATTCCAATCCAAGGTTTTTTGCAAACTAATCGTTCACGATCTGGTCCATCTCAAACCTCAAGGTCTGCTTAAGCCACCCAGACCTTCCAACAACCAATAGAAGAGATGATTGTAGCTGATACTAATCCACCTCCCAACAGTGTTGTCATGGGACATAGTTAGGACACTGATGGGATATTGATGGGACAGATAGGACATTTGGGACATATATGGGACATAGTTGGGACATATAGTTAGGACATATAGCTGGGACAGCAAATGCTTGGGACATAG